GGCGGGGCATTCCTCGAGCGGGTCCCTTCGGTGTTCAGTGGAGCCTCGGTTCTCCCACCTGTTTCAGTCCGTTCGTTTAAGCTCGAACGACCTGAGATCCAAAGAGGATCAAAGATCCCAATCGTCGGGCTACACCGTATCCCGGATTGCCTGCGCGGCGAAGCAACTCTCGAGCTATTGCACAGCTCGAAAAGAGTTGATCATTCGTGGTCCCAGCGAGGTGGACGAATGTTGACAGATCGAAATCGAGTGGGAGACTCGGACTTGATGAAAGGGAAGAGGAGGATCGAAACTTTAATTATAGAATGCGCAACGGTCGCCAATAAAACACAAACCCTCATCGCTGGTAGCCCGGCCGGTATTTCGAGCAGAGGCCACGAATAGACCGCAATCGACCCGCGGCTCCCGGTGTTGACACGGCTCGAGTCGCGATCACATCCGATTTAGCTCTCGGCAGCGATAGATCCGTTGGGATCGGTGCGAGAAGCAGTCATGGCGAGACGCGGTCTGATTTTCCCCGTCCTAGAGTTCCTTGTAGCTGAATGTTGGCGGACGAATGATTTCGGCTGCCCTGGAATCGCTGGAGAAGTCGGCTCGCTCAGTCAGCCCCGAAGCTGCGCCGTAAAGAGTGGCACGACCACGACACGTACGTCGCTCGCTTCTCCCGTGTTGTTTAAACGAAGCCACTTTCGTCAAAGTCTTTGGGGACACACGTTTTGCGACACTTGAACTTCGTCGCAGCCGAGGTAGCGGCTCTCTCTGCTCGTCGTAGGGTCGCTGCGGTGTAGTCGCTAATGAGGCGATCGAAAACTTTCACACAATCAACCCCACGGTGCTCTGAGGCAATACCGCATTCGGAGTCGGATCTCCGCTCGGGGACCCGGGCCTTGATTCTCCGATCGTATTCCGACGCGGAGCAAGTTGACCTCTTGGGATCGACTTCCGTCGACGAACCAGGAGGAGAGGAATTCACGTCTCTGACGGACGAAAGGTATTCCTCTAGATCTCGATGACAGCGCTTCCGTTGACTCGACTGGAATTCCGACGGGATGATCGCGATGTGGGTGTTTCATCCGCTCAAATTCGGTCATCTGAGGAGAGAGCCCGAGTCCGAAATCCGAGTATTCCTAACACGAGCCTCTCTGACTGAGCCCTGCTCGTGATTCGTGATGGGTGGAGCAATGCTTCCTGTAGGTGCGGAGTGAGATGGATCATTCCTGCTGACGGTCCTCCTCGAGACGTAACATGAGCTAAGAAGCAGCGAAGGGGATCGAGTTCTCGCTTACATGTACGTCGTGTTAGCCTCTAAGGAAGAGCTCAAGTGCTCCAAGCGCTCAAGCGCTGCCGAATCGTCGTGAAGTGAGGTCTTCGGTATCGGAGTTCTGGAAAGAAATCTTCGGGAATCGCGTTCATTTCTTTCGATAGATGGTCCCTCTCACCAAGATCAATATCTCTCCAAGGACACGGGGATCAGTCACATGGATGATATCCTTGTGCAATCAAAGCGCCACTGAGAGGGTATGATGCTCATAAGTTCGAGATGGGAGCTCCTATCATTCGATCACTTACACAACGTAGTTGAACATCTACCGCGCATCGTCTGTTCATTCCTCCGTCCATACATTCTATTATATTGACGGATCATGGTTTGGATCACCGTGGTGTGTAATCTCTTCGGGGCAGATTGGACAGTTGATTGCTCAATATCGAATGAGACGGCGCGCAGAAATTGTTTTTGCTCTGCGGTTATTACCAGCTCGGCTGCGTGTTGCATACGGAAAAGAGTAACATCCACGAAGCCCTTGAGAGATGTTCCCGGCTAACACGATTGCGATGCGCGGATCAGTAATCTTTTGGACCGCTCGCTCCTGCCCGCCCCCTCCCGAGCAAGGCTGGAGTATTACGGTCTCCACCATTGCCGCGGTCGTCATCCTCATCACGTGGTCGTCCTAGCCAGCAAACATATTGCCGCAATAGCATCGGCTGTAAAGGCGGGGCGATCGACGCTTTTTGCGCAACTGACAATGGCCGATTGGAACAATATTCCATTCTTTGGCGCGCAGAAATACGAACGAGCGGCCCGTAGCCCAGCAGCTGCGGTCTGAATATTTCTCTAGAACCTCGAGCTGTCAGAAGCTGCGGGAATTCGTACAGGGAATCAGAAAAATTCCCCCTGCTCGGACCTATTGAGGAACTCGGTCCTCCCGTGTGTTCTCTGGAGCCATTCCGAGGAAATAAAACCCGAAGAGCGTGGCTAGGCTTTCCTCGGTGCGGCGATGAAGTTCCGAGCGAGGACGAGCCCTATTCCTTGGTCAGTTCATGTTGACCCGTTTATTTTTCTTCCGTCTGAGTTCCTTCCCTCTGGCGACGTCAGCGTCACCGCAAGCGCCGTAGCTTCAATGTGATTATGAAAATTAGCTGTTCCAAAGCAAGACAGAGGGAAGAAGGACGACGGAATTCCCGAAACTCCCCCGACTCCCTGAGCTCGGTGGGTCGCAGCAACGCGGTGAGAGAAAGCGCTCTACGGTCCGTCCGACTCCCCGGTCGTCCGGCCGCCTCCACCGGTGATTCAGCTCGCCCGTCGCGTCGGCCGGTCGGTGGCCTTGAGTCTCCCGGATTGTGTCCGGTAGTGCAGGGGGGTAGGGACTCGGTAGACAAACTGTGCTGCACTGAGATACGCGGTCTGCACTCAAAGCTGCTCCCGTCAAATCAACGCAGCTCTTCTGAGTCTGCGTGCGCTGAATTTCCCTCCCGGAGCACACAACGACGAACTTGGTTAGAGAAAGTCTCAGAAGACGCGCTCGCCGCTGGACGAGAGCAAAATGAAGAACGATGTTCGAAAAACATCGTACGAGCGTAAGGTTAGCTCGCTCGCTTGCGTTTATTCCCGCTCGCCTGCGCTCCCGTTCGTCCCCTGCGCAGAGGCCGTCGTCGGTCGAGACGACAGCGGACATCTGTACATTCTGACTTAGTGGCTGACGGACTGGCTTTTCCGAGCTCGGGTAGGAAAATGCCTGAACGCACTTGTGGGACGAGTTTTCTCAGCCCTCACCCACAAGTGCTGTGAGCCCTAGCCTCTGTGAATGGAGCGGTTCCGGGGACTTGGAGGAAGGCCGAGGTCGCCATCCCGTGATGACAGGTCCGGTCTTCCCGTTGCTGATTTTCTCTTTTGTCTCCGGATGCCTCCTATGATTGTCGCGGTGCCTCCCTCTCTGACTGACTGATCGAAGCTTCGGGGGAAACTCTTGGAATAATTCATATTTCGCCGCCATGCATGGTGACTCGGTGACCTTGAGCCCGTTTCGAGTCGAGAAAGCTGGTGGTGACCTCCCTCTTTGTGAGTCTTCCGCGTCCTTCTCGCGTTGCATTCCTGCTCTTTCCCGAACATTGGTCGACAGAGAGCTTTAATCTGCTCCCGCGCTGGAAACGCATATGCATGTGTTCAACGCCGAAATCAGCTGTATTCGAGCATTTGTTTGATGTTATGCACTTATCCGGAGCACGTGGCAAGCGGAACCGGAGGGGGGACAGAACTCCGGGCAGAGTACCTAAGAAGATTGTGGACAGCCTCTGACGAGAGCTCCGCTCGCGCTAGGGGCTCGGCGAGCATTTGGGGGGGGGGAATCGACTCCAACGGCGCGGCGTGGTTCTGATGGCTAGGCAGCGATCCTGGTCCCGCTTGGCGGCACGAGACATAAATAGATTTTGAGCTCTTGGGAATCGTTCGATTCGCATAAAAATCGGACTCTCAGAATCAAATTCCACAAGTCTCTCCCAATTAGCTAGGAACCAGGCGATCGGAAAGAAGCTCATCCGAGCCTCGAGATTCGGATCGTGCGCGGCGTATGGCTACCGCAGACTGATGATTGTAAACGCCAGCATATCCCCGGGTACCGGGCTGCCGTCTGACGCGGCAATCCGAATTTCACTGCCGGAACACTCCGGCGGCGATTTGTTGACCACACGGCTCGCCTTTCGGGAATCGCCAACGGAAACAGGGCCGAAAGAAACGCAGAAGCGCTCGGGAAACGATCGTCCCCTCAATCCCCACCGGAAGAGGTCTCTCTCGAATCGGGTTCAGAAGGTTGGCTTCGTTTGAGGGCTTTCGCCGCCCACATCTCCTCCCAGCCCGCCACGGCTAGACTCCGACTCGGATGAACGTGTGCTTCATCTGATTTGTCGGTAACTCAATTTATATCCTGTCTCCTCGGTCTGTCAATCCATGGAGCTTCTTCCCTCTAGTGAACCGAGCCAAGTCGAGCGATCCGAACCATCCTCGAAGATTTACGAAGATAACATCCGATAACCGACCGCCCTCCCATCTTTCCAATCAGGCTTCTTTAGCCCTCTGGCTTGTGACTGGATTACTCGTCGTGGTGTAGAGCCGGTTTCCGGAGCTCTCGTATCCCTCGTCCTTTGTCTCCGCCTCTATCGCTCCGAGATTTTCTCCTCCTGCCGACTCACGGACGGCCAGACGTGAGTAGCGGAAGATTTCAATGCGAGGGTGCGCCGAGTTTCGAGAGTTGAACTTTGAACGGTCCACCGGGGCTCGCTCGAGTGTCTGGACGTACGGGTGTATCCGCGCCCGACGCTTCGCCAAAACGGAGTCTGTTCGCTAGCCGCTCACGCCTAATCTACTGGGGGGATTTCCGCTCGTCCGCCCGCCCGTCCGCCGGTGGTTGACTGGCTTGGCTTATCGGCTTGGGCTCTCTGAGCCTGTTTGAACTTCTTCCTCGTCCTCCTCCTCCCTCGTTCACGTTACGTCGAACGTCGGCCGAAGTCAACGCGATTACAGACTCGCCGGGATCGGAGGCAAGCTCGATATGAGGTGATCTGCGAGGAGCTGGCACAAATTAGGGGGAGATTGTGCTGGAATTCAATGAGCTACGTGGGAGATGTATTCAGACGCGTATCGATGGACGGGTGAATTGAGGGAGAGAACGAGGCGAGCCACAATGTGGACTCAAGTTGCGTTCGTGTTTGCTCTCTGCAGCTTTCTTTCGCTTCCTTTCAAGGGTTAAATTTGCACGCAAACGAGCCCGGTGCCAATATCGGGCGGCAGCCGAGCCTTTCTTGCGACGAGGCCTCATCGCTAAAGCCGGAAGTCCACCGACTGAGATACTGCCGCGTTCCTCGGCAGAAGCGCCGGCTTCTGGAAAGACGATCATTTAGACGGAATTTTCTCCATCAAAGGCGATTTCTTAGCGGAGCCGCTCGTATCGGCGGACTCGAGTGATTGAGTGAACACTTCCACCGATGGTCGAAAGCCGGGAATCGCGAGAGCGAATCCGTGGACTCTTGTCGAAATACGCGACGGGAGGAGCTCAAATTCTCCACGGATTCCATGGTATCGTACCGAGGTCGAGATCTTCCGGACTCCCGGGTATTCCCTCCTCAGACGCCAGATGGTCAGATCCAACGGTGAGGGCGCCGGCCAGGAATGTTCCCAGAAGGCCAGAAATGGAACGGAGAGGAATTGAAAAGGAAATTTCGAGCCGGAAGCCGAACGAAAAACGCGATGCGCACGCCTGACATCCGAGTCGGTATTCGAATGAGAGAACATCCGGATGGAATGTCTGAGAAATCGGGGAAGAGACCTTCGACAAACTTGTGAGAATAATGTTCAGGATGAGGAATCTTACCGATCCTCCAGAATACGGTGTCCACCTTTTCCTCCTCGAAAGTTTCCGCACCGGAGAGCTGCAATAGGCCTCCGAGAAACGAGTAGCTCCTCGTTCCAAGGGAATCGCTCGGTCATTGGAACCCGGACCGAGGGGGGAACCTCCTCGCGAGCGGACGTGGATTCCCCGAATCATTGTCATGTATTGCCGGAACAAAATGTTTCGGAACCGAGTTCGCTGCAGCCCTTTCGGACGGGAAAGATAGAATCGATTGTGACATCTCACTTGCTCCTACCTCCAAGTCGTTCGGGCGAGGAAGAGGAAAGCAATCGCGCCTTCTGGAGCAAACAGTAGTATCAACAACAGCAGGAGGTAACGGTATCAGTTGTAATAGTTGTTGTAGTGCTTGTAGTAGCCGTGGTAATAGAAGTGTCGGCTGGCGGTAGTAAGCAAAGCAATGGAAGCGTGTCTATCGGAGGGAGCATCGAGGGCGGGCGGGCGGTCGGTCGGTCGAGTGAGCGGACGAGCGGACGAACGAACGAACGAGCGAGCGTCTGTTTGGTGAGGATCGAACCGAGAAACGAGAACGAAGAAGAGGCAAGCCGAGCATTGGTGGGCGAAAACGCGAATAGCTTGCCGGTCAGGCTGGCCGGCTGCTCGCCCTTGAGTTTGGGTGCCAGTCATGACAGGCCTCATAGATGCGCATCGTTGCCTGCTGTTCTCCAGCGCTGCTACAACTAGCCCCGCTGAAGATGGATATTCGTTCGGTGGCTCCCGCTCTCCGTCGGTTCGTCTCCCCCCGAGCCGCCATTGGCTTCCCGGCTGTTTGTTTCCTGAATTCTGGCTCGGTCAATCACAAGAACAGCCCGAGATCCCGCCTAACGCAGCCGCGAGAAAGAACGGGCGAGGCAAATCCAGATCGACCTGGCAGCACCGCGGAAAATCAATATAGACTGAATGCTCTGACTGAGTCGAGAAAGAAGCGCAGAATTCGCTGGTCCTCTGACGCGGGCACCGATCTTTGAATTCATTCGCGGTTTTCTCTTCTCTACGGAGCTGATATCGTGTGGAGACTGGGCAGTCAAAAACATCTTCTGCTGAGAATCTCGTCGCGACTCCTCCGTCGCAGAGCCGAGCGAGGTCAATTTTTCTGCTAGCCGCTTCTGAAAAGGAGCGGATTACTCCTCCGCTACTCCTGGCCGAGCCATATTAACGACACGCTATCAGAGAGACAGCCAGAGCGGTTGGCCTGAGAGCGAGTCCACGAACAGCAACAATTCAGAAGTCGCGTGTTCCCACTTGATTTACTGTCTGCTCCACTCGGGCGTTTCCCCACTTATGCGACCGTGGTCACACAACCTGAATAGGGAGCCTGAAGAGTCGGCGACCACAGGTCGAGACTCCAGCTAGAGACGGAGCCCGACAACGAGGTCAAATGAGGGGTGAGCTTTAGGCCAACGAGCCTAATCTCACCGTCGAGCACTAATTACCTCAGCCAATTTCATTATTAGTGCAACTGACCCCCCTACATTCCAAGAAGCACAAGACGAATGACCTCTACCCGTGCACTCCCCCCCCACCATGAACCCTCTCATTCTCTGAAAGATCCTTTCTGCTCTCACAAATAGTCAGGGAATATCAGAATCCACGAAAACGAAATCGGCCGGGCTTCAAGATGTCGAGAGCATCTTGAGCTCGAGAAACGATCAGGCAACGGCTCTCACCAAGGCAAACGTTCGCTTCGGACGACTTTCCGATCCCGCAGCATGGCATCTTTGAATAATATCTTCGGAGCTCGCTGGGGAGCATCGTCGACTTGAGCTCCGCCGATGAATTCGAGCGAATACCGAACGGGGCGTATTCTGAGAGGCCGCCGTCGCCGTCTTTTCCGGAAGAAAATCGCAAGCTTGCACAGTTGCGAACGGTTGTTTGTAGCACGGCGATGCGCGACCCGTACCAACAGTAGTCCAGAACGAATGGCAATAGCGCTCCACTGCCATGGGGAGAAAGGCCGGATAAGAGAAAGTGGGAAATATAGATCCTGTGGATCAAGTGATCGATGGGAAGCTTACTCCAGAAGGGAAAAAGGCTCGACGAACGCTGAAGCGCCCCGTTTCGGAGACGATATCCGAGATTGTGCAAGACTGTCGTTTTTTCCTCCGTTCGGCGCGACAAGGGAAATATTTAGTGCACGAATTTTCTCTTGGTCCATTCTCCTTCCTCCCTTCGTCTAACATCGGGGAATGCTGAACGAGTTCCACCCTCCCTCAGCGTCGATTCGCTTATTTTCTCCTACCGCTCGATCCATTGGAATCGGCTCCTTCCACGGGGTTACTCGCTGATTGCGTACCGTTTCTCCGATTCTAGCAGTTTTCCTCCGATTCTATCTGATCGCTGCTGATCCTTCCGGTCTCCCTGGTCCTCGAATCTCGGCGTCTCGCCGATCTTCCTCTCCCTGAAGTCAAGACCCCTAACCTTTCGGCAAGACGAACTGATTGACGGACCGGCACGGATTTACGGACGGATCGACCGACTGACTGGCGAGCGAGCGAGCATGCAAGAAAGGGAGCAACGGAGCTGGTGTGCGCGAGAGATTCGGTTTGGAAGGAAGTAAGGAAGCAAGCGTTCCCGCGAGCGTGCGTGCGTGCGTGCGACGACCCCAGCTCGCTGAAGGGCGCAGCTGCCGCCCGAGAGCCGTCGTCATTGCTAAAAACCCCAATACGTTTATCTCTGTGGCTGAGAACCGGAGCTTTTTCGTCCCGTTGGCCGTGGCTTGCTTTCCCCGAGCCGTTCTCCCGAACTATTCTCTCTCTCTCTCTGTAGTCAGGGACGGGAGAAAGAAAGAACGAAACGTGGGAGCTAGCTACGCGGGCAAGGCAGAAGCGAACGAGCGATCGAGGGCGCGTGCGACCGACCGACAGGCCCACCCAACGAACCAACGGGAGACGAATCGATCTATTTACATTGTGAGTTAGGCAGAGGCTCGCCTGTTCTTTTCCTCTCGCTTTTCTTTCGCTTCTCTCTCGGTAGATGCCAGCAGGAGCTCTAACGGCAATAGCGGCCGGCGGTGGCGTCGACGGCTGCAGCCGCCGAGCAAGCAAACGTTTTCTCCTTCGCTCTCGGTGTATGCAGTAGCATAAAAAGTTAGCCCTACGAAGCGCCCTTCCCCCACCTCATTCTCTCAGTCGGTCGGTGCGTCGGACGGTCGAATTCGTTTGCAGAACCTGACACCGAGGCTCAGTCGACCAAGTACCGAAGGGGACTTTGATTTAAGAGCTCGATAGCACCTTCATAAGTCAATTCCTCGGGGAAGTTGTGCGGAAAACTATAAACTCCGAAAAGATCGTATTTTGTGGCTGTTCGCTCATGCAGCCTAGTGTTCACAGCGCTATTCCTCGTGTGCCCTCTCTCTCGATAAGGTTATCGAACAAGCAGATAGACCGACAGATAGAACATCGGAAAGGTCCAAGGTTCGCCAGGTGGGAATTTGGGCCTTGTGCTGGATATCCGGGTCCGAGATTCTTCTCTGAGCTTCCTATGTCTCAGCCGAATCGTAATCCCCCAACATTTACAAATACCGGTGTATCTATCTGTCGACCCATCCGTGGGTCATCCGTCTACTTCGAGATTATGCTGTCTCAACTGATCACCCACACAGGATTCGATGCGACCAGCTATCGACAGAAGTGAAGCGATATCGAAGCGAACTCGTGATCTGTTCCTTTCTTCCCGCTCTCCGACTTCAAAGGAAGATGTAATTCCGGATGTCCCCCTTGTCAAATTCGGGAAAGTCTCGAGACAGCCATGTATCAAGAGGAACCATGTCTTCCCCGCACATCTTCCCTCTCACGACTAGGCTGCGACAACGTTCCCGTTGCTCCTTCCTTTATGTTTCGACACTGATTATTTCCAATCCTCGATGAAGTCTCGGACGTATTCCTCTTATCCGAGGCGAACCTTTTCTTCCACCCGCGACAACCCTGACTGCAAGACGTCGCTTTTCATTTAGGTCGTCACCGCGTCGAGTCGTCCTTTCGGATATGATCGTCAAATACTGTACATTTTGATAGATGGATAGAGCGTCCGTCCGCCCGTCAAGGATAGCGCTAACTCGTTCACAAGCCTCGGTCGAGCGATCAGCCGCTCCACAGTGCAACGTCATTTCGCCGAGATTTTGTGGAGAAGTCGCATAAATAATGCATTTTAGCGAGATGATATACTCGTGGCTCGCTCAAATCCTCGGGATCTCTCGTTCATCCCCGTTGTGGTTCCCGGAGCAAAAACTCTGACATAATCGTGACTGGGGGAGACTGCTCCGGAAAAGGCTTGTTGCAGCTCTGCGCGGACGACGCAAAGCACCGCTGGATAATCTTGAGGTCGTTGGAAAGTCGCGATTCTCAACATGGGGAATTTCCCAACCGTGGCAGAGTCAGCGCAGCCTCTCCCTCGAAATCCTGCCCGGTTTCCCCTGTGCCGGAAAAAAATCATTCAGCGACTGATCACTGCGTGGAAACTCCTCCGTCGACGACCATACTTGGAACCAGTTATTGAAACGAGAGAAAGGCTCGCCGAAAATTGCGAGGAGAGCCTTCCACCTCGAACTGACGGAACGCCGCTAACGAGGAACTATCTTTTATTTCCAGTGCGAGCCTCAGACGATGAAGAGCGTTTAGTGAGAGATCTCTTTCGGGACTACAACAAACTCATCCGACCTGTCGAGGTTCTCAACATGACGGTTGAGGTCGAGTTCGGATTGTCGTTCATTCAGCTCATCAATGTGGTGAGTGCTTTCATTGAACGATGACGCGAAACACCGCAGAAAAAAACTAGCGTCTCTCGGCGATTCAATGTTACGCTTCCTGCGCATCCCGACTTCCGGCGGATCTTTGACACGGGAAGCGCACCTGAGTGGACTTCGGGTTACTCGGCGGTCCCACTCGGCTCGTATGTTGCCCGAGGCGGAGTTCGCCTCACTTTCACAGCAATATGTGCTCCACGAACAGCTCTCGAGGACCTGTGTACAAGAAAAACTTCTATGGAGACATTTGAGCGCTGCGAGATAGATTGGTATCGCCTGAAGTTCCGTGGGAAACATTAATGCACGGCTTCACCGCGGTAGAGGAACGCGGAGTCTCGCTGTTTGCTTTCGTATCGCATGTTTTAATGGCTCATTGCGTTATTCTTCCAATGACTCCCCAATTGGCGGTAGAGACCACTGCTAAGTCCCTTTCGGAATCCCCGATGCCGTCGACCGGTTTTTCTCTTTCGCGCTGATCTTGATGAAGTTATCTGCCGACGGAGCCAACTGGGAAGCTTCTTTGCGTATCGTCCCTCTCTCCGACTGGAGCTCGGTACACTTGCGCAATACACGCATCTTGAGGCCGCTTCCCCCGCGAATTCCTCCACTGGAGCTTCCCGTAGAGCTCCTCGGGGCCTCCGGAGAGGGAACTCTGTATTCAAAACAGTGTTTTGAAATTGTTCCATTCCGCCTTTCAGAACGAGAAAAATCAAATCATGACATCCAACGTCTGGTTACAACTGGTGAGTGTGGATGAATTCTAGATTTCATGCTCTCTCTCGAAACGTACGGGAGACCCGTGCTGCTGAGCCGAGAACGGACTGGGCTCTACTACGGGGGAAATTTTGGGGTTGAGGGCTTTGCTTTTTTTATTTTTCCGACCATTCGAAAACGCTAACTGTGCTGCTCTGTATCATTCCCCGGAATTTCCCCACCGTTTCCGTCGTGCCCAATCTACAGAAATGGGCAGACTACCAGCTTCGTTGGGATGAAGCAGACTACGGAGGCATCTCGGTGTTGCGGCTTCCGCCGGATAAAGTTTGGAAACCGGATATCGTGCTTTTCAACAAGTAAGTTAAGCGACCGAGTCAAAAGATTACAAAACGAAAACGCCATTCAACGCTGGTCCCTCGTTTACTGGAACGTGAAGCAGCGCTGAAACTGGAATCGAATCGCTCGAGGTAGAATCGAATTGTTCCAGTCGGAATCGAATTGTTCGGCCCGGAGCCGACTTGCTCGAGTCAGAGCCGATTCGTTTGACCTAGAATCGATCCGTTGCAACCAGAATCAAATCACCTAGAACGAGATCGGATTTTCGAAGGCCACGAAATCGCTCGATGAAAAGTAATACGGGGAAACGACGGCGATTTTCGTCGTAGAGCAGCGGCTCGCCTCTCTTATGGTCGACGTTCTATTTTCAGCGCTGACGGCAACTACGAAGTGCGATATAAATCCAACATCCTCATATACCCTGGCGGTTCAATAATGTGGGTCCCGCCAGCCATATACCAGAGCTCGTGCACGATCGACGTGACGTACTTCCCATTCGATCAGCAAAAATGTGTCATGAAATTCGGATCCTGGACCTACAACGGAGATCAAGTGTCCTTAAAACTCGAGCAGGACAACTTCTGGGTGGATTTGTCGGACTACTGGAAATCCGGCACGTGGGACATCGTCGAAGTGCCGGCCTTCCTGAACGTGCACGACAATAGCAAGACGGGCAAGCCTACGGAGACTGACATTTCGTTCTACATCACCATCCGACGCAAAACTCTGTTCTACACGGTGAACTTGATCCTGCCGACAGTTCTCATCTCGTTCCTCTGCATTCTCGTATTCTATCTGCCAGCGGAGGCCGGCGAGAAAGTCACACTCGGTATCTCGATTTTGCTGTCGTTGGTCGTCTTCTTGCTGCTCGTGTCGAAGATCTTACCACCAACGTCACTAGTATTGCCGCTGATCGCCAAGTACCTGCTCTTCACATTTTTAATGAACACCATGTCTATACTGGTTACGGTTATCATCATAAACTGGAATTTCCGGGGACCTCGCACGCACAGAATGCCAAACTGGATCCGAATTCTCTTCCTCACGTACCTGCCTACGATACTCTTCATGAAGAGGCCTAGCAAGACCCGACTGAGGTGAGTGACAAGTGCCGATGCCCTTTTCCCAGGATGGGCGTGAGTCCGAATCGGCGGGAAAAAAGGAGAGAAGATTCCTACGAGAATCGATTTCATCCCGGGGTCGGAGCACGTACGCGACATTTGCGTAGATACCCACCCGGGTTCCGTGGATGACAAAGACGAAGTCACAAAGACATTCTAGCCCCAGTATCACAGCCGAGATGATCAATCTTCGCGGTAGAACTCTCTCGCCTGATTATTCGGTACTCCTTCCTGATTCCTTCCTCTCCACGCTCCACCATGAACTCAATCAGGAGTGAGGATTAGCCTCAGACTCCATCCACTCAAGGACCTCCTCCCGACTTGCCTTTCTTCCACGCTTGCTTCCTCACCTACGTGAGTGAGGAGTCCATTCGGCAAGACCCACGCCGGACGAACAAACTGCTCTCCCTTAGCATGGCTAGGGAGTGACTCCGAGCCCCGGAAAGTCAGTCTCATACGGTAGGGGAACAAAGTTCGACTCACCGCGAATCATGTTATGTGGCCTGGTACCCTGGTTGAACCTGGGACGAGCAGAAGTAGGGGAGATCCACCAGTTATGGACCACCCCACCAGTTTTGGACCGGTCACCAGTTATGGACCACCCCCCAGTTTTGGACCGGTCACGTCACCAGTTATGGACCACCCCCCAGTTTTGGACCGGTCACCAGTCATGGACCCCCAACGGGTTTTGGACCGGTCACCAGTTATGGACCACAGCTCAGAATGTTCTCGCTTTCGGATGACTTGATATTCGCTCGCTTCGGGAATCGGGGAGTCGAATCCAGCCTCTCCAGCTCCAAGCTAGGGGCGGATTCGAGAATCGTTCGAGTATCGGCTTGAGATCGATTTTCTTTCTGAGTTGCCCGCTGTCGATGGGCTCT